GTTTTATTTTTTTTATTCCTAGTGTAACTCAGTGCCTACCCCAATAAATATTTGCTGATTTGAATTAAATAAACTATTATATATACATAAAATTGAGTAAAATTTGAATATTATCTATCTAAGATCTTATTAAGCACAGTTACAATTATCTATTAGAATTTTAAAACATTTTTAGGGGCTGGAGAGATGGCTCAGCAGTTAAGAATACTGTTCTTGCAGATCTGGGTTCATATCCCAGCACCAACATGGCAGCTAATAACTGTCTGTAACTCCAGTTCCAGGGGATCTGAAAGATTCTTCTGTCCTTTGCGGGAATTACACGACACGGGTGCACTTACCTACACACAGGCAATGCATGCATACACATAAAATAAAAATAATAGATAAAATCTTTTTTAAAAAAAACGCTGCCCCCCATTTTTAAAGATTTTTGTTTTGTTTTGTTTTTTTTGAGACAGGATTTCCCTGTAACCCCAGCTAGCCTGGAAATTGCTATGTAGACCAGGCTGGCCTCAATCTCGGAGATCGGCCTCTACCTCCTAAATACTGGGATTAAAGGTGTGCTCCACCACGTCTAAGATTTTTATTTTTAATTATGTGTGCATGTGTGTGTGTGTCTATGCATGTGAGTACAGGCGCCCATGGACGCCAGAAGCATTGGCTTCCCTGGAGCTGATGTTACAGGCAGTTGTGAGCTGCCTGACATGGTTGCTGGAAATAAAGCGTGGCTCCTCTGGCAGAGCAGTGTGTGCTCTTAACTGCGGAGCCATATGTCCAGCCCCAACACCACATTATTTTTTTATTATATTTTATTTATTTAGTGTGTATGTGTGTGTGTGTGTGTAGGCATGCAGGTGCCACAGCACATGTGTGGCAGTCAGAGGACAACTCACGAGAGTCATTTCTCTCCTGACATGTAAGTCCCAGGGATCGAACTCAGGTCATCAGGCTTGATGGCAGGGGCTTTAACCCACTAAACCATCTTGCCAGCCTCAGACCATAATTTCCTTATCATCTACCTATATAAAGAACAAACTTCCATGAATTGGGCTTGGCCTTACTATGGTTTCAAAGACACAACCAAAGGTGCAGTATCTTACAGGAAAGGCACACACAATGAGAACGTTCACTAGTCTCCATTTTTATTTGAAGCTGACTTTAAAATGTGTTGATACAATTAATTTTCTAAGATTGTCTCTTTTTTCATATTTTATTTTATTTTTTATTTTCTTGGTCTTTTTGAGACAGGGTCTCCCTGTAGCCCCAGTTGTCCTGGAACTCACCATGTAGACCAGGCTGGCCTTGAACTCACAGAGATCTGCCTGCCTCTGCCTCCCGAATGCTGGGATTAAAGGCGTGAGCCACCATGCCCGGCCCTATTTTATTTATTTTATTTTATGTGTATGAGTGTATTGCTTGCATGTATGTAAGTGCACCTGTGTGGTGTAATGCACACTGAGGTCAGAAAAAGGCATTGGATTCCCTAGAATTAGTGTTAAGGACGGTTATTAGCTGCCATGTGGGTGCTGAGAACTGAACCCAAGTTCTCTTCAAGAGCAGCCAGTGCTCTTAATTACTGAGCCATCTCTCCAGTCCCTCAGATTCTCTCTTTTAACACATACACACACACACACACACACACACGCTATCTTTTCTCATTCAATTATAAGTGTTCAATAAATGTTGAATTGAAACAACATTACTTTAAGGAATAATTTAAATTAAGGAATAATTTAATTTGTTTATTTCAAATCCTAAAATTTTCCAGATTATAGCTTAATAAGATTAGTGACAATTATGAATGAAAACAAGAACAGATGTTAGTCATGAGAATACATTAAAAATATCAGATTCATCTTACTTTATGGATAATACTAGGTCAATAAAAATACCTAGTTAAAACATTGAGGGTACATTTGTTCTAAGTGATCCCTCTTTGTGCTAATTAGCTTCCTGGAAACTTTACAAAGTACTATTACAGATTTCCAAAGATTACTTTATCTTAATGTTCCAGTGTTATGAATCTAAATTAAATAAAATCAAAGTTGACCTTAGGACATGCCTAATACCAGTCCCAACTAATTTTCTGAGATAAAACAGCCCTGCTGTGCACCACAGCTTTATTCTGTCTTTCCCAAATCTCTATTGAGAGTTCTGCTCTATCAATGGCTGCCAGTGTTCTTGGCTGAACATTTGAATGTGCAGTCCCCAATCTGCAGCCATTATTAAACTAGTCACCAACTCCTTGGTTATTCAAGTACAGGAGGACGGAGAGAGGGGTTGTTTGCCTCCACAACCCCTTTTGCTTATTTCCAGTCTTACTGTTACCAGGGTCAAAAGCTCTGAACCTGTCTGGGAAGTGGTTCCCGTTTCCCTGTTCCTTCCAGAGACTGATGTAACCTAGGGTCCAATGACTCCTCGAAGGAAACCTGCAGCTGTTGCATTTCCCATTATCGTTGGCTGCTACTGCCCTCTTGCGGTAAGTAGATGCCAGATCCTCGTAGTTTGGCAGATACCTCCCCTCCCCAAGGCCCATTCTCATAAAGGGAAATTCTCAGTATCTCAGAAGATATTTTTATTTCTTCCATAACTCTAAAAAATTATGACCATTTTAATTTTCCTTATAAATGCTCATAGCAAATTTTTGAAAAAATTTAAGCTATAAAGATTTCTGGGTCAACCTCTGAATCTGTTCCGGGGTCTATTCCAAAAGCTTTTATTATGGTATTTTTGTAGGTCCTACTTTAATCAAACTTCTAATTACACAGGGAATCCATTATGCTGGAAACATGAGACTATAAAAAGGATATTTTAAAATTAAACCTCCATTTATGGAACCCTGCTTTAACAGCAGATTAATTAAGCTAAATCTTCTGGGAAACATAGACAATTAGTAAAATCAGGCAAAGCAAAAAGAATGAAATATTTAACTTCAAGTAGAAAAACTAACACATAACTACTTTCAATTAACCCAAAATTTATATTTATTGTTAAATTATTTATTTCAAGAAATGTTTAAACAATGAGCTAAAGGCACTATAAACAAGTCCTATGGCATTTCTCTTGCATCCAAACGGTAGCATTGTTTCAATCCTGAATGTTTACAACTTCAGAGACCTCCTAAATTAACATATAAAAGAAGGCCTGGTTTTGTGGCCCATGCTTTTAATCCCAGCATTCAGGAGGCAGAGGCAAGTGGATCTCTGTGAACTTGAGGCCAGCCTGATCTATATAACCAGTTCCAGGCCAACCAAAGCTATACAGTGAGACCCTGTCTCAACAAATTAAAAATAAATAAATAATAAATATATTTTTAAAAAGAAAAGAAATAAATGAAATGGAGTAGATCAACGTATGTAGTTTTTCTCCCTCCTAAAAATCTTATTTATGGAGCTGGAGAGATGGCTCAGCAGTTAAGAACACTGGTTTTTCTTGCAGAAGACCGGGGTTTGAATCCCAGCACCCACATGGCAGCTAACAACTGTCATAACTCCAGTCCTGGTGGACAGCCTCTTCTGACCTCCACAGGCATTGCATGACACAGGTGTACTTACCTACATATAGGCAATATATACATACACAAAAAATAAAAATGATAAATAAAAAATTTTAAAAATCTTATTTAGGCTAATATAAAAAGATTAAAGAAGAGGAAGAACATAAATTATAAGGATTAGTATATCAGGTAAAGAGGAACACCAATATTTTCCTCTTACTCTCTTCTCCGTAGAGCCTTAGTAACCTTTTCCTCCCATATTCACTCTACCTGATGCCCAGCTCCCAAAGTCACTGTAAAAACTGGAGCAAGGCTAGGGCTGTAGCTCAGTGGTAAATCACTCAACATGTTGTGAGGCCCTGACTTTGATTCCTAGCACTGTATTAAAATTTGTTCTTTAAATCCTGCCAGCAAAATGCCTCAACAGGTAAAGGCACTTGCCACCAAGCTTGACAACCTGAGTTCCTGAATGATGGAAGTTTAGAACTGACTCCTGCAAGTTGTCTTCTGACTGCCACATATGCACTGTGGCACATGTATACTTATACACATACGCACATAGTATACACTAATAAATAAATAAGTGTAAGAAATTTAAAAAATAATTTCCAGGAGTGGTGGTGCACTCCTGTAATTTACCCAGCATTCAAAAGACACAGGCAAGAGGGCTGCTGTGAGTTTGAGTCCATGCTGGTCTACATAGAAAGTTCACACTGCCTCAAAAAACCAAACCCAGGGCTGGAGAGATGGCTTAACAGTTAAGAACAAATACTGCTCTTGTAGAGGACCTGAGTTTGGTTCCCAGTACCCAGGTCAGGTAGCTCACAACTGCAGCTGCAGGGGAAGTAATACCTCTGCCCTCTGTGGGCACCTCACACATGTGAGTATTGCCCTCCCCCTCTAACACACATATATACGTAATTAAAATTAATCAATGTAAGTTTTTAAAAATGAAACAAACCAGATCAGGCATGGTTTATAGGTGAAGTTTAGGAATGATTGGGGTCCCTAGAAAACCTCCCTGCATTATACCACTGGGCAACTTCCTCTTTCAACTCTACAAATATCTCAGAGAGGGTAACAAGGAAAGTCTCCAGCTGAGAGTGACAGTTCTGTGCTGCAAACAGGGAGGGTATGTATATTAAATATGGAGGACTTGTAGACTTCCCCAGTAAGTCCCCTAGATTTTGGAAAGACAAGTTGTTTCCTCTCCAGGCAGGGATCTGGAAGAATCTCAGCATACAGGAAGCTGACAGCCCAAGATAAAGAACTTAAAGATACATATATGCTGGAGGCTTAGTTTACATTTCAGTCACTTCATTCCTAAATAAACAGCTACAGACAGACACTGGAGGAAATTGAGACACAGAAACCCAAACACTAAAAGAAAGAGGAGAAAGATCAGGGAGAAGAAAACTTCAACATATGTTTATCAGTCCCCTTGGGGAGAGAAGATAGATAGGAACAAGAGATTGTAGAAAACAAATACAGAACTCAAGAGTTCTTAGAAGCTAAAACATGAACAAAAAAAGTCAATAGAATTAGTAGATAAGATTGAGAGAATTTATCAGAAAGTAAAGCAACAATCAAAAAGATGGAAAATAGGAGAGAAAATAAAATATTTATTTATCTAGTGGCACTGGGGACCAAGCCTAAAGCTTCAGAAGCAAGCTAGGTAACAGCTCAGCTACTGAGGTATACTATACTCCCCCCAAAATGGGATTTTGAGGGTTGAGTGTAGGAGAGCCAATGTCTGAATAGTGTGTTACAAAGAAGAAACACAGAAAAGGGAGAGCAGGGTCACCATCGGCCTCTAGGTCACCTTTGTGTAAACAAGAAAAAGACACCTGTCCTGGATAAATGCACTGGACACAGCTGAGTGAAGAAAAAAATGTGAAGAAAAGGTGATCCTCTTCCAAGCAAACACAGCTTCAAGCTAAGGCATATAATTTAGTGAGTGGAATCCAGGTTAGATTTTAGCTACCATCCACCTCCTCAGCAGGGCATCTTTGCATAGCATGTAACTTGCTCAGCTGTAAGTAACAACCTTGATACTATGGAGGAAATCAGCGGGGATGTAAGGATCTGAATTTTACAACTGAAAAGAGCCAGCAAGTGCCCAGACCAACAGATAAAAACAAACTCACTTCAAGGCCTATCATTATGAAATTTTACAACTTTGGTGATAAAGGAATGATTCTGTAACTTCTGAAGAGGAGCAAAACAAAAAGGTAACATTATGGAATCAGAAACCAGGTAGGCTTGTGACTTTTCAATCACAGTCTTGGAAGTCAGAAGACAACAGAGACATTTCCACAAAAGGGAGAATGTAGAGTTACTATATGGCCTAGCTATTTCTCTCCTAAGATATACAGGAGTGTAATTAGGTATATATGTGCCCAAGCCAGTCATAGTAGTGCACACCTTTAATCCCAGCACTGGGAGGCAGAGGCAGGTGGATCTCTGTGAGTTCAAGGCCAACCTGGTCTACATAATGAGTTCAGGTCAGGTGGGACTACAGGGAGATCCTGTCTCAAAAAGACAAAAACAAAAAAAAAAAAAAAAAAAAGGGGAAATGGGGACAATGCTCTTAAAAAAAAAAAAAAAAAAAAAAAAAAAAAAAAAAAGTGGCAATGGGAGTAATGTCTTTAAAAATACAAAATATTACAAGAATTACTACTGGAGCTAATGATATAGTACCTTAAAAAAAAAAAGCAAAATTAACCAAGAAAATGGCCAACTATCCTATGAGAGTTTCAAAATAAATCTCAGGAAGGTACCTGCTAAAAAAATCTAAGGACAAGGGAACACTTTGGGTAGAAAAATAAATGTGTGTGTCGGGGAGCATGGGACAGGTCTGAGGCACAGTACAGGAAGACCGGCAAGCCTAGCAGCAAGGGGTCCTACGTGGATGGGGAGAACAGATCTTCAAAAAGGCTGTCAGGTCATGAGACTACTAGGACCTAAGCTTTTAATATACCTAGTACACAGCTGTTGGGAGTTGTCCTTGGAGTCCCTGGGTCCCCCAAAGGGAAGTCTACCTACAACATTTATATGTGAGTGCACAGCCTAAGGAAGTCAGGTCTTCTGATCAGAGCTGTTTGGGGTTCCTTCACAGATGACTGCCTCAACGTACAGGCCGGACACACTGCCTGGAATTCTGGCAGAATATGAACTACTCCTTTCTCAAACTAGGGAGAAATGGGTAAGAGTTGGCAGCAGAAACTCTAGTACAGCATGGGGCTTATCACCAGCCTTAATTCTACTAGGGGCTCTGCTATATAGTCCAGCAGTCCCTCCCCATTCCAGGCAGAACCTATAGATGCTGCTGGTGACATTTCGTGCTGAGTGGGTTTGTCGAATAGGATATTTACTTAAAGCTGAAAGAAGGCCAAGGCTAACTTTGAGCAATAACAGATTCCCTTGCCAGAAGACTTCTCTCCATTTTGTACAAACAGAAAGATGGCTCTAAAGAGCTCCTCTCCCTTTCCCCAAACAGAGATCTTGGAATTTCCTGATAGAATTGCATCTAAAAAGCGCAGAGGATTGGTATCTGGGTGACCAGAACTTTCTTGATTGCCAGAGACTGGTAACACTTTTGGCTGGGTCCCACTTTGTTAACTGCAGTTCTGTTTCCTGCCATTTGAGGACACTGTTGGAAAGCAGAATGCAGTGGGCAACATGTTTGTAGTCAAGGCTGTTGTTCCGGAATGGGCTAAGCTAGTTCAAAGCAGGGGCAAGCAGAGAAGCAGAAATTTGCATGTGTTCTGAGCAGCATGCAATAGTGGGTAGTTCTTACAGGCAAATTGGAGGCAGAGCCTGAAGAGATTCCCTTGAGGCATTGGTTTAGTACCACAGAAGGAGCCATTTGTCTCTCCCCAGGGGATAGGCTTATTAAGGGCACATACCTACAGGGTATAGAGAGTAGAGAGGCCTGTTCCTTATCCTCTATTCTATCTGATGGAGGGACTGGACTGGACATTAGTTGGTGCCTACTTCCTTGTCTAAGAAGGAGAACATCACTCAGAGGGCACAAGGAGCCCTGGCAAGCAGGCTCTGGCTCTAGGTTGAGGGGCTGGCAGGTTGGTGGGGTAGGGTCTCAAGGAGAATACCAGTTAGACAAACCGATCACATATGGGGAGGGTATTGGTGCTGGAGTTCATGGTGGGGGTTAAAGTCTCTCAAAGAAAGAACAGAAACTAGAAGTAGGGGTAGTGTGGGGGGGAACTTAGTCTAGAGTTAGGCATCCTAGAGACACAGACACAGATTTCTCTGGACTTTAAAGCCCCCATGAATAGTTGAACAAGTATAGAATAAGTATATAAAAGTATACAGTGGATTGGCCTTAGTGGTACAGGTCTGTAATTCTAGCTACTCAGGAGACTGAGGTGAGAGGTAGGAGGTTCACAAATTCAAGGTCTGCAGGGCTACAAAATGAATTCAAGGACAGTCTGGGCAACTTTGTGAGACCCTGTCTCAAATAAAAAGTAAACAGAGGATGAGGGGGTATAGTTTAGGGGTAGAATGCTTGCTTACCTAGCATGTATGATGCCTTAGGTTCAATACCTGGTAAAACACACACACACACAGTATACAGTGAACACTATCCATTTTGTTTTTGTTTCCCTTGAACAGAATCTTAGAAGTTATACCTGTGGCACCTGTGGATCCAGAGGCTTCTGTGAATGAATGAACTCAGAGACATGAACTACAGTAGGAGCTATGTTCCAAACAAGAATTCTGAACTGACTCACATTGCTCACAGTCCACATTAACTCATATTCAATTTTTTTTTTTTTTTTTGGTCTTTTGAGGCAAGGTCTCCCTGTAGCTGCAGCTGGCCTGCATTCTCTAATGGAGACCAGGCTGGCTTTGAACTCAGAGAGATCCACCACCACTCCCGGCAATTTGCATTCACTTTTGTGAGTCTCATGTTCTTCCCTATTCTCCAGCACTCCCAACCTCTGGGAGTGTTTCATCTTCTTGGGCAACAGGACCTCTGTGACATCCCCATTCACCTGGCTCACTGCTCAGACACCTCTGTGCTATAGAAAGAAACCTACTGCCTGAGGAGTGTGGCTGTCCTCTCTGGGGTTGCCTTTTCCTTCCACTTGTCCTGGGGAGTCTAGTTCTAAGCCTTTTAGCCTAAAATATGTAACCCAGAAACCCAGAAACTCTCTGGCTTGGTATAGAGACTCCAGAGAGAGTCAGAGAGAGTAAGGTGAGGCTTGGGTTTAGGGACGATTCCTACAGAGACATTTTTACAGTTAATAATTAGCTTTTTTTGAGACAGTCTCACTGTGTAGCCTTGGTTGGCTTGGAATGAACTATGTAAACCAGGCTAGCCTTGAACTTGCGATCCTCCTGCTTCTGCCTTTCACACACAATTAGTTTTTCATAAGTTACAAAGAAGAAAATGCTTTTCTTATTTGGTTAATTTGCATGCATGGCTCAAGGTGTCTAGTGGGGGACATCCATACCAGTGAAGGAAAGTGCCTTTGTGTTTTGATGTGGCTGGGTCGCTTGTCACCTGCAACCTAACAGCCTCTAGATGTGAAGTCCTGCTGATTCTCCTGCTCTGAATGGCCTACATTACTAGTTTCTATATGCTAATGTTCTTTAATTTTATGATCATTTATATTTTCATTTAAATTCCATTTATGAACCATTTGTTTTATGCTAATAAAAATCTCATATATATATTTAAATTATTGTTAAGTGGAAATTTACCTTTGATATGTTTATCAATGATCTGTAAGTTAACTTCCTCATAGCTAGCAGTTGGATCAAAGA